ATGCAAAGATTAATTCAATAAACTTTGATTATATTGATTATATTGACTGAAACCTCTAATAGAAGATTAAATGAGACAACATATATGTAGGACTTTGTCCTATTCACTTAAAGAAAATAAAAATACTTTAAAATGATTTTCTTCTTATAAGTGTAAAAATATAAAATCAAAGACAAAGAAAATAAACAATAGAAAAGTTTTTTTTTTCACCAGGGTGACCCCTACACATTAGAGAGAGAGAGATGGTTCAGTCCGTTAGGATGACTGTTGACTTTTCCTCCTCCGCTTTCATGTTTGTCAGAAAAAAGAGAAGAGTGACAGCGAGAGGTTGCTGACGGAGCAGCTCCAAGCCAAAGAGTTGGAGCTGCTTCAGCTGAAGACGGAGCTGGAGACCTCCCAAGGTACAGGTAGATCACACAGGTCTCATTTCCACTCTGTGTAACAGCTGTTCAAAACACTACGTAAACGATACAGAATGTTTTGTGCAATGGTAAATCACATATTGTATTCAAAATACCTTTGTGTGCTTTTAAAAAAACTACTATACATATGTAAGCGCAACAAAAGGGTTAAAGGCATCTGTTAATAAGTGACATAAAAGATTTTCACCTTTTGAGACCACTAGTTTCTGTTAATGTTGAAAATCACAGTTATCCGTAATCAAAATCCAACCTGCAGAAGAAATTTCCCAAAGTAGTTCAGAATCTCAGGCAGACGTGTTTTCAGGAGAGACAAGCTAACGGCTAATCAGAACGAGGCTGTTAGCGTGCTTTCTGCTAATTGTTGTCGTTTTAACATGACTAATAGTTCACATGAAGTTCTTTTTAAATATATATTTACATTGCCATCTATTTATGATTTTCCATCAGTTTTTTTATCCTGTTATTTATATGTAAACAGTCTTTTTTTTCCCCGCTTGAGTTTCACATGGATCATTAAACACAACAGTCCACAGCTGACTCTGTCTGTAGTATAGATGACCACTGAATGCAAAACTGACGCTGTGTAAAAGTTCCTAATATTGTTTTCCTACGAAATTTTGGAGACAAAATTGGTTTGAAATAAACCAAAGAGTTTTGCTCGAAGAAGTCCTTAACTCATTTCCAAGGAGGGAACGTCTGCCTGATATTCCAAAGTGATAACATTAAGTTGATTCTGCTGCAGGTAAGATACTGATTACTGATAAATGCTCTGCACAACATCACTCCAAAAGCTAAAGCCCTTTCATTATGTGAAAATAACAACTTGCATTTGTCTAAGGGTTATATATATA